GATCAGTTTGTAGCTCCACCAACAATGCGTTGGTGTTCCAGTTTTCCCACATCTTCTCTGGCATTTATAATTTTCCTGTTTCGTCATGTTGGCCAGTCTGATAGGTGTGATGTGGTACCTTAGAGTTGTTTTGATTTGCCTTTCTCTAACCAATGGTGATTTAGAGCATTTTTTCATATGATTATAGATGGCTTTAATTTCTTCATCTGAGAACTGCCTGTTCATATCCTTTAACCATTTATCAATTGGGGAATGACTTGTATTCATATAAACTTGACTTAATTCTCTATATGTTTTAGAAATGAGGTCCTTATCAAAGAGACTGGTTATAAAAATTCTTTCCCAATTTTCTACCTTCCTTTTAATCTTGGTTGCATTGGCTTTGTTTGTGCAAAAACTTTTCAATTTAATGTAATCAAAGTTATACATTTTGCTTAAAAAAAAAAACCAGCCACATTGTGTGATAACTAATATTGATGGACTTAACCCTCCTCAGCAATTCAAGGATCTAAGACATCTCCAAAGGCCTCATGACGGAAAATGCTATCCACCTCCAAAGAAAGAACTATGTAGTTTGAATGCAGATTGAAGCATACTATTTGCTATTTTTTTTCTTCTATTGTGTTTTGTTTCCTGTTTCTGGTGGTTCCTCCTATTGGTTCTAATTCTTATTTACAACATCACTAATGTGAAAATATGTTTAATAGGAATGTATATGTATAGCCTATATCAAATTGTATGCCATCCTAGGGAGGGAGGTGAGGAGAAAGGGGGAGAAAAATTTAAAACTCAAAAGCTTATGGAAGTAGTTGTTGATAATTCAAAATAAATTAATTTTTTAAAAAATTAGGAACTACTACCATGTCACTACTACTTCCCTTGATCTGGAAATTTTGCTCCTTTTAATGTAGTATACGATGGCATTTCCCAACTAAAATCTTACTCTGATGCCAAATTATGTCGTAGAGATCATTCTGGGCTCTCAAAGTGAACAACCTTGGTAGGTCCAACTAGGATAAAAATGTGATGAGTTAGACCCGATAAAACTTGTGTTTTGTCATCTTCAGACAGATTAGATAAGTTTAAAGAGGTTTATTATTAGGTTGGCTATAGGGATTTGAATTAAAAAAAAATGTGTTCCAACAGAAGGAGTATGTACCCCCACCAAAAATACAAATGTTGGCATGTTGACAAAAGGTCATTTTTGTTGTTATTTTGTTTTGTTTTTGTTTTGCAGGCCATATTTTACTAAACTTGAGGTCCACTGAAGAAATGGATCTTTGTCATAGGAATTATTGTTTAACCTTCCCCTTATTTACAGGAATCATCACAAAATATCTGAGCTTTATAATATTTCAAATATTCAATTTCAAATTTTCAATATTTTGAAAAAAACATTTTAAATCTATAACCTCATTTGAACCTCAAAAAAAAAAAGAATTGGGAGAGGGGGATATTTGAAGGCATTAAATAGGAAATCAATAAATAGAGACTGAAGATTGGGGGGGGAAGATTCAGTGGACAATTTGCTTAAAAAGATATGAATAGATGGGTTTGAAGGCACATGAAGAGGGATGGGCCTTGTCAAGGAGAAGGGCCAATTCATTATGAGAGACTGGAGGAAAGGAGGAGAGAGTTGAGGCTATCATGGGGTTTTGAGATGAATAGAAGAGAATAGTATGCTCATGGCTAGTGGCTTGAATTTTCTCAATAAAAAGTCAAGATCCTCAGTTGAGAAGGTAGGGGGAGTTGGAGTGAGAAGCTTGATGACAGAAAAGAACATTTGGAATGGCTTTTGTGGAGAGCGAGATTGGGAATCAATTAGGGCAGAGTGAAAGGATTGCCTTGATGTAGTGAGGGCTCTGTTAAGGTTAGCCAACACAAACTTGTCATGTTCTCAGTCGGCACCATTTTCTGACTTCCTCCAACTCTGTTCAGCAGCAAATTAGTAAGAGCAGAGAAGGTGGAAATAATCTCGAAGCGAGGTAACAAGCAATAGGACAATAGGGCAAATGATTCAGAAATAGAGGACAGTGTAGATTTGAGTTGGTTTGCTAAAGGGTCAGTACTGGGAAGGAAGAAAGTGAAGTCAGAATATGGATAATATTGTCTGAGAACACAGAACACAGAACGAAGTCTGAGAAATCGATGGGTGGATAATCAAGATGAGGCAAAGAATAGATTTAAGAAAGGTTAGGTATCAGGAGAACAATAGTAACAAAACATTTCCCCTATAATCTTGGAGCATACTTACCATAGTTACACATAGCAACAGTAGGAAGTGCGAACACATTCTTGCAGAACTCCAGTACAGTCACATACTTGCGTAGGAGATATGGCTAAGACAGTTCAAATCACCAACAGTACTTGTTGTTGTTCAGTCATTCATGGGGTCTTTGTGACCCCATGGACCATCACACACTAGGGCCTTCTATCCTCCACTGTCTCCTGAATTCTGTCCACGTTCATGTTTCTTGTTTCCATGGCACTATCTATCCATCTCATCTTCTTTTCCTTTTGCCTTCAATCTTTCCCACATCAGTGTCTTTTCCAGTGAGTCCTATCTTCTCATCATGTGGCCAAAGTATTTAAGCTTCGGCACTCTATGTCTCTGATGTCTTTTCTCTTTTCTTAGTTTCCTCATGCTGTTTCCCTTGGCTGCTGTGTATTTTCTGGTTAAGGTGCTCAGCTAGATTTTCTAGGCCCATTTTTCTCCTCAGCTCAACTCCCAATGGCCAGTAATGACTCTCTTCTTGACTAACAGAATTATAGACTCTCTACTCAGAACAATCTCTTCCCTTAACTCACAACTGGCCCACTCCCTGCTGGGTGTGGTAGTTCCTACTGGATGACTAGCTTTGCAGTAAAATGTCTTGGCCGAGGAGGAGGAGGCAGGGAAGGAGAGAGAAAATCCTTTTCTCCCAGCATTTTTCTCTCCCTTCAGGCGCTGGGACCTTCTTTGATAGCTGACTCTTCTCTCTGTTGCCAAAGGTCACACTTTTCAGAGCTACTTCTGATCTTGACTGTCGTTTTAGATAGGAGACTAAAAGAGGAGACCTCTATTTTTAAAATAGAGTAACATGGCCAATCCTTACACAGTCCATAGCTAGGCAGATAGTGAGCATTTACTGTTATGTGCTAGGCACTGTGCTAAGGCCCAGAGATGAAGATACAGGCAAAAAGAAAGGCAGTCCCTTTCCTCAAGAATCTTATATTTGAATGGAAGAAGATAAAACACAAGAGGGAGCTAACCAGCAGAGGATTAAGGTATCTGTGCAGGAGAATGGTGTTAAAATCTAGAAAGCTAGAAGCATAGCTGGGGTGGGATTGAACATTGGCTGGTCTGGGCCACTTCCAAGAACAGAGGCACCAGGAAACACTCCAATGGGGGAAAGAGCCAGCCTGGCTGAGGGATGTTCCAGGGTGATAAGGCTGACAAGGAGGATGGCTGTCCCAGGTGCTAAGGAAGTTTCCAGGATGAGACTCCACCTGAAATAGGGTGTTGAAGTCCAAAGAGTCAGACGCATAGCAGGGAGGAAAATGAAGATTAGCCAGTCTGTGTCCACAAAATAGAAGCACTGGGAAGACCGTACTTCCTTTCTAATCCCATCAGTTATGATCACAGAACTTCATGCCCAGTAAAGGGGTATATAGTGCAGCTAGGTGGTTCAGTGGATAGAGTGCCAGGCCTGGAGTCGGGAAGCCCCATCTTCATGAGTTCAAATCTGGCCTCAGACACTTATTAGCTCTGTGACCATGGACAAGTCACTTAAATTAACCCTGTTTGCCTCAGTTTTCTCATCTGTAAAATGGCAAACCACCCCAGTATCTTTGCCAAGAAAATTCCAAATTGGGTCACGAAGAGTTAGACCTGACTGAGCAACAACAAAGGGGGTATATAGATTTTTCTTTACATTTTGACCTTAACACTGAATTATGTCTCCTACTTCTTACTACTCTCTTATACCCTGGAAACTCCCTTAGCACCTAGGACCTCCTCTTCCTGATCTGTGATTTCTCTTGGAAATCAATTGATTTTATTTTCACTACCGCAAACATAAAGATTAACAAACTGCACAAGGTCACATAGTTAAAGAGATTAACATTTAGGTCTCTTCGTTTCCAATATAGTAAAACTATGTTAACTATTATATTACTATATTACTAACTATATTAACTACTGCCTTTGATAGATACCTTTGGGACAGGGATATGCTGGTAAATGTTTTAACAACTGGATCAAATGAGATTATATTTGTTAAAAGTGCTTAGCACAGTGCCTGGCATATAGTAGGTGCTATATAGATGCTTATTCCTTCCCTTTCCCTCCTCCTCTTCAAAAAACTGTAACCCCAACACACTTTTAAGCTTAATCTGTGTTAAGATTTTCTAAGTCACTTTCTCAAATCTATACAATCAATGAAACAATAAACCAGGCCCCAGTTCACAGCATTTGCTGATTTTCTGAAAATCTAACAATTGGGTCTTGGGAATTCATATGAGCTGGTGTCAGTATGGCCCTGCTTTGGGGATATTTTAGGGTTTTATTGTTGCCTTAGTTTTTACATCACAGTCGTTTCCTAATATTCATCTCTCTGCACCCTTCCTCTTCCCCTCATTTGAAGCCGTCTTGTGTAAAAGAGTAAAAAACAGTTAGGGTAAACCAACTAACATAGTGACTTAATCTGACAGGGTATGAAACATCCTGTATCCATAGTGCCCCATCTCTTGAGCTAAAGTTAGTTAATCAATCATTATGATTAATCCCAGCTCAGCTGGATTAGTACCTTTCCTGTATAAGACTTCAATCAATATACATTTATTAAGCACCTACTATATTCCAGGCTCTGTGAGAAATACAGGAGATACAAAAGGAGACAAAAGACAGTCCCTGACCCCAAGTAGTTTATAATCTAAGGGATGAATGAATACCAAAATAAATACTGTTGTCTCCAGTTATTTCAGGATCCTCTTCTCTGTTATTTTCTCACATTTTACAGAAAAAGGACAATGTTTCAGAAGATCGTGGATCAGTCTAAAACTTTTGAGAATGAACATGAATGGACCCAGTACATGATGCTGGAACAGACTCGGAAGGAAATTGTCATGTAAGTATTAACAGGACTTTTAAATTATTGATTAATTAATAATTTTTATATCCAACCCCTTAAAGTCAGCAGGATTGAGGATGGAAGATGGAGACCAGAGTTGCCTCTTGAATGAGAAAGCTCCTTACCATGCCTTGCCTTGCCTTGTCTTTCCTGGGCAAGTCAGAAAGGAGAGCGAGTGATGCCTATTTCCTCTGGGAGTAATTAGTGGTATAAGGAAATAACCAGAGCCCTAGTGTATGAGATAAGAAGCCTGCCCTGTTGTGATGAGTTTGGGAGTATATAGGACAAGGAGAGCCGAGAAGAAGGAGGAGCTGATGGGACATTAGCTCCAGGATGCTGGATTTAGAGGGTACTGAGGCTGGTGGTATTAGTCCCAGTTTAGGAAGAACAATTAGTTAATAGAGAGTTGGGATATTGCTGTGGTGTAGGAAATGATGAGTTGGACTTGGAAAAATATGGGAAGCCTTGGACTTATGAAGGAAGAAGTTATCCACCCTCAGAGAAACAAAAGACAAATAAGTATAGTACAGTCTTACACAGATGCATATGAATGTATATGTCTATATGAGTATGATTATAGATAACTAAGTATATGTATGTGTATGTTAGTGTATTTATGCATGTATATATGCATGTATATGTTTGTGTATATGTGCTTATATATGTGTATGTGTATACACACACACACACATATATAAAATATATCCACATTTAATTGTAGCCTTCTTGGGGGAGGAGGGAGGAAGGGGAAAAAAGAGCAAAATAAAAAGTGCGCAGCAGAGAACAAAAGGAAACTTAAAAGGAAGCAAAGAAAAGATAGACAATGCATAGTATTTATTATATTTATTTATATAATATATATTTGTTATATAGGCTTTCTTGTAGTGGAAATTTATAGCTGTATATTTTTATATCTTTGCTTACGTTCTGCTGTGCACATAGTGATGCTTTTTTTCCCTTTTCTTATTTTGTATGTAAGTTTTAGTATTTAAGTTTATAATGTTTTTTCTTTTCTTATTGTGTATTTAAGTTTTAGTATTTAACTTTAAAATAAATTAAAGAAAAAAGAAAGAAAAAAAGAATAATTAGTTAAATAGCAAGCTGGCAGAAGGCTTTGGTGAACGTTCTCCCCATCTCCTCCCCTGTTGTGGCCTCTGTCTCCCTCCAGTGGTGTGTCTCCACCTTTTCCACCAATGGTTTCCTTTTGCAATAGGTAGCGCTTTGGTAGCCAAGAGCCCTCTGTGCAGGAGTTGGCCATAGATTTTCTTGGTTTGGCAATCGTGGCATGGTATGGGTTTGTGGCCCATACCTCAATCCTCTCCTCCGCCCACACAAACAGTGAAAGTTATAAGAACCAATTCTAAGGACAATGTACTGAATCAGGCACAGCTGAGCCTATGGCAGGATTTCTGCTTGGGAAGGAGAAAGAATTTTGGGGGTCGGAGCTGATCTAGTCCAATGTTCTTATTTTATAGAGAAGAAATTAAGTGCCAGGCCTGGAGTGAGGAAGGTCACAAAGAACTGGATATGACTGAACAATAACAACAAAAATTTCTGTGATTCCCAACATGTCATACAATCTTACTACCTAGGACAGCCCAGTTCAATTCTGAATAGTTCTAATTGTTATTAGTTTTTTATTTATATGCTACATTTTGTACAGAGAGGTTTTTTTTTCTCTTTTTTGTGATATCTTTAAGAAAAGTTCTAGAAATGAAATCACTGGATCAAAGCACATTATTAGTTTCGTGACTCTTACTGTATATTGGTATTTTTTGGAATGCAATCCCCCAAAGCAACAGTTTTCCTTAACCCTGACAACATTGTATTTTATCTTTTTTTTTTATTACTATATTTGCTAATTTGGTGTGTGATAAGGTGGTAGCCTAATTCTGTCTTGATTTGCACTTATTACTATTAGAGGATTTGAGCATCTTTTAATTCGGTTATTTTTTCGGTATTTGTATTTTCTCCTTTGCAAACTGCTCATGCCCTTTAACTATTTCTCATCTGGAGAATGTAAATTGTTCTCCCAGCAGTAGTGGAGAGAAGGCCAGTCAGCCATGAAGCATTTATTAAGCACTTACTAGGTTCTCCCCCCTCATCTCTGCCTCCTGGCTTCCCTGACTTCCTTCAAGTCCCAGATAAAACCCCACCTTCTTTAGGAAGCCTTTCCTGATCCCTCTTAAATCTAGCGCCTTCCTTTTCTTGATTATTTCCTATTTATCCTGTATGTAGCTTGTTTGTATGTAGTGATTTGCATGTTGTCTCCCCCATTGGATTGTGGGCTCCTCTTTAACCTTTCTTTCTATCCTGGGTGTTTAGCACAGTACTTGGCACTTCACAGGCAATTAACTTATTGACTGACAAACTATTCCAGGCCTGTTCTTCCTTCCTTGCCTCCTTCCTTCCTTCCTTTCCTTCTTTCTTATGCTGTTAATCTTAGAGGGAAGAGATTAGTAGCTGGGGGGTGGGGGAGGAGACTAGGAAAGGCTTCTAATGAAAGGCAAGATTTGAACTGAGATGCCAAGGAAGCCAGGAGGTATAGACCAGGACAGAAGGCATTCCAGGCATGGGGGACAGCCAGGACAAAGACATGGAGTCAGAAGATTGTACTATCATGTGGTTGGATTGTAGAGTAGGTAGAGAGGAGTAAATGGTAAGAAAACTGGAAAAGTAGTAAGGAGTGAGGTTGTGTTAAAAGCCAAATAGAGGATTTTATATTTGATCCTAGAAGCAATAGGGAACCAATGGAATTTATTGGGGGAAGGGGGTTGACATGGTCAGACGTGGCAACAGATTGGATATATGGCATGAAGTTAAGAGCCAGGGTGCCTAGGAGGATGATTGTACCCTCAGCAGTAATAGAGAAGTTTGAAAAAAGGGAAGGTTTGAGTGGAGGTATGGGGAGAAATAATAAATTTTGTTTTAGATCTGTTAAGTTTAAGATATCTACAGGACCTCTAACTCAAGATGTTCAATAGGCAGTTGGAAAGGTAAGACTGAAGGTCAAGAGAGAGGTTAGGGATGGATAAACAGACCTGAGTATTATCTGCATAGAGATGATAATTGAACCTAAGGGAGCTGATGAGATCACCAAGTGAGATAGTGTATAGAGAGAAGATAGCCTAGGTCGGACCCTTGGGAAACATCCAGAGTTAATGGACATGACCTGAATGAACATCCTGCAAAGGCTACTCTGAAGAGGTGGTCAGACCAGAGAACCAAGAGAGAGGAGTGTCACAGAAACAGAGAATATATAGGAGAAAAGGGTGATCAATAATGTCAAAGTTTGCAGAGAAATCAAGAAAGATGAGCACTGTGAAAAGGACATTAGTTTTGGCGATTAAAAGATCACTGATAACTTGGAAAGAGCAATTTCAGTTAAATGTTGAGATCACAAGTCAGACTGCAAACAGTTTAGAAGAGAATGAGAGGAGAGGAAATGAAAGCACCTATTGGAGATAACCTTCTCAAAGAGTTTAGCCATGAAAAGGAGGAGAGTTATTGGAAATGGTCAGATCAAGTGAGGGTTTTTAAAGAGAGACATGGCTGTGTTTGTAGGCAGCACAAAAGCATCCAGTTGACCGAAAGAAATTAAAAATTAGTAAGAGTGAGGATTATAGAGGGGACAATCTGTTGGCTGAAAATGGATGGAATGAGATCACTTGGGCATGTAGAGGGATTCACCTTGGTAAAGAGGACAACCTCCTCATGGGAAACTGGGGAAAAGGAAGCTATCTGAGTGATGCAAGATGAGGCAAGAATTCAGCTCGTGGTGGATGGCCTCAATTTTCTTTTGGTGAAGTATAAGGCAAGGTTCTCAACTGGGAAGGTAGAGAAAAGGGGGTGCCATGGGAATGGCAGGAGAATAGATAAATCTGTAATTGCCATTATGGTGAATGGAAAGAATTAAGGAGACAGGAGAACTAGTTACTCTCTCTTAGCTGACCCCCACTCACATGAAGACAGTTCCAGCCATTCCCAGATCTTCCCTTAGGGTCCTGGCTTTCTCTTTATTCAACAAGGTCTAGGTAGGAGATGAGGTTCCTTTTAATCCAGTTACGGGAAGAAACAATGAGAAAGGGGAAAATGTCTGCCACCAATTTGCTAAACTCACTGTCTGTTCTGGAGAGTCCCTATTCACTTGTACTTCTTTGGTTTGAGATAGTTGTAAAAATATGAATTAAGAAATATTTCATTCATCTTGAGATCCCATGCTGGGAAGTGTCCCAGCAATTAGAGAATCTCCCTGTCTGTCTGTCTGTTTCTGATTAACATCTGCATTGCAGTATTGAATTGCCTACTTCTTTTTCTCATTGTATGACCACAAGAAAGCCACTTAACCCCACTCAATCTGCTTCCTCACCTACAAACTAGAAATAATAACTGCACCTACCTAATAGGGTTGTTGTGAACACAACAAATAAGCTAGCTATTTGTATTTTCTCTGTTAGAAATTGCTTGAGCTATTTGACTATTTTTCTGCTGGGGAGAGTGTATTAATTTCTAGCAGTAGTGATATAGAAAGTGAAAATTTGTGCCAACTGTAACTTCTTCCTCTCAGATGCTTTTGAGCAAGCAAAACACATACATGCCAGTAATGCAATGGCTAACCACATTCTTATCTTAATACTAGCTTTTACAGACTAAGTGAATAGAAATGAAAAAATCCATTTTAAAGAAAACAAGAGATTAGCTTTGGAACAAATACATGTTATCCCTGAGAGGGAAAGTAGAGAGGAAAAATGGAATCCTTATCTCGGATCTGCCCCACTGGCTCGGTTCAGACAAATCAGCATCTTACCAGACGCCTTTCTTGGCCCTGGAATCCAGTCCTCACTCATCGTTATGGTTTTGCCCCCACCTCCATGGCAACTGCTTTCCCTGGCTTGCTTCTGCTGGCCTTGGTCTCTCCCTGCCCTTCACTCCTCCTCCAGTGAGGCTGCATTCAGGGCACTACAGGCCAGTCTCACTTCGGCTCCAGCTCCCCTCCCCCTCCTTGATGACTCTTCCATCGTTTGACATGACTGTGGCCCAGGGTGCAGCGGGTGGCAGCAGTCTGAGGAATGTGACACTCGAGTGGCCGCCTAATTCTTTTGCATCCTCAGTCAGACTCCCATCCTTTCATGTACCTTCTGATTCATGCAAAGCTTTTCCTCCTTTTCTTCTTCTCTTAGGAAAGGGCAGGTGTGAGGCCCTCAAAAGAGACACACTGGGGGATGTTGTCCATCAATAGACAATGGGATCCAATGTCCCTACTACACTTTTATATATCTGTCCCTTACAGATTCTGGAAGCCGTCTGATATATTCACTGCAAATATTTTCTTTAATATGTTTAATTTCTTTGCCTGAAATCTGCTTTTTCCTCATTTCTACCTATTGAAATCCCCCCTTTCTTTAAAGCGATCCAGGTGTCACCTCTTTTCTGAGGTCTTCCCTGATGCATCCCCCACAGCCCCCTCCCTGGCTTACCCCTAGATGAAAGAGATCTTTTCCTTCCTAAATGGATGGATATTTTCTTTCCTCTGTGTCACACTCAACCTCTGCATTATACTTACCTGTAAGCATATTGGAGCAGCTAGGTGGCCCAGAGGATAAAGCCCTGGGCCTGAAGTTAAGAAGATTGAGTTCAAATCCGGCCTCAGATATTAGCTATGTATCCCTGAGCAAGGTACGTAACCTCTGTTTGCCTCAGTTTCCTCATCTATAAAAGGATATAATAGCATCTTCCTCCCAGGATTGTTATAAAGATCAAATGAAATAATAATTGTAAAGTGGCCTCATAAAGTACAGCACCTGGGACATAGTAAGTACTATATAAATGTTAGCTATTATCATTATATTGTTTCCTCTATAGCAGATTGCAAGCTTCTTGAGGGTAAGGACGGTGTCTTATTTCACTATTGCATCATTGCCCAGCAGTGCCTTGCCCACAAGAGGTGCTTAATTTAAAGCTCATTGAATTCTGCATCAACTTCCATTTTAGAACCAGGGGGTTGACCCCATACCATCTCTTCCATGCTAGCTGGCTATTAATCACTGTCTTGTGTCCTCAGGGCAATGATGATGACTGCCTGTGACCTGTCTGCTATAACCAAGCCCTGGGAAGTTCAGAGCAAGGTACAAGGAAACTTATATTCCCTTTGGGAGGGGGCAATTTGGGGGGGACCTCTTCTTGCTCTTTTCCCATAGAGGTTTTGGGGACCCCATCCTGACTCCTTGCTAAGTTCAAAGCTGAGACAGCATTTGCAATCACTGCACACCCTCCAAAGAATTTCAGCTGAATCATTTTTACATAGTGGATGTCATACACAGAGAGCACACTCCAGGCCTCTCTTTGGCCTCAAAAACCTCAGCTGTAGGGGCTCTTTGGTGAGATGATTTGGAGTTTTTACCCTTTTATTATTGGCAGGTGGCTCTTTTGGTGGCTGCTGAATTCTGGGAACAAGGGGATTTGGAGAGAACTGTACTCCAGCAGAACCCTATTGTGAGTAGAAATTGGAGCTCATCCTTTTGTAAAATAGGCAGCTAGGAAGTCTAAGGTATAGAATGCTGCCCTTAGAGAAAGAAAGACCTCAGTTAAAATCTTGTCCTCAGACACTTCCTAGCTCTGTGTCCATGAACAAGTCATTTAACCTCTCCTGGCCTCAGTTTCCTCAATTGTAAAATGATAATATTAACAACTACCTAACAAGATAAAGATCAAATGAGATAATACATGCAAAGTGCTTTGTAAACATTAAAGTTCAATGTAAATGTTAGCTATTACTATTATTGTTAGAGAAGAGACCTCACATTGATGTTAATGGAGAAGTGCAAACTCACCCCATTGCTACACTTCATGGAGAAATACACACAATCTATGTGGATCTGCGTATAGTATTCCATCCATGACATAAAATTTGCAGATCAATGGGTCTCCTTGCAGAAGACAATTGTCCTCAAGTTTTTTATAAAATACGAAGGAGCCCAGTGTTAAAGGTGATATGGTAAGGGGAAATGGCAGATTGAAATTAGAGGACCTGGATTTGAATCCCAACTCTGCCACTACCAGTGTGATCCTGGGTAAGTCTCTTGAAATCTTTGGGCCTCAATTATCTAATTCCTAAAATGAAGGGTTGCACTGGATGACCTCTAAGGCCCCTTTTAGCTCTAAATCCTATTATATACATTTTACAGGTGGGGAAATGGGTTCAAGAAAAGTTGAACAATTTGCCAAAGGGCTAAGGTCTCTCCCAGCTCTAAATTCTACCATCTTGTTTTGTCTATGTAAGTCTTCCCATACCTTCCTGAAACCCTCAGATCCTCCTATCCCTACCTCTACTGGATTAGAAGCAGAACCTCCCAAGCCCCTTAGTTAGCTTATGTTCTGAAGATGAATGTAGACCCAGTCATTCTATGAGGATCCATTCTGTACTGTATTTATATGATAAAAAGGACACCAAAGTGTTCCTGTCCTAGATAGCATGAAGGGTGGTTTCTGATAGCCTGTGTCAACAGTGCCCTAGGACAGACATCACCCACTTACTGCTTCCATTATTCAGTTTGGATAGAAGAAAGTTAAAGGCAAGAATGTCCTTTGCCATAGTAGCATATGTGTTGGGTTTTTGAGGTTTTTTACAATTCTTTAAATTTTAGAAAATAAGTGTTACTTGTTTATTTAATATCATAGTCATTTCCACATACATTTATAACAACCATCTCCAACTCGCCCACCTGACAATGTAGGCAATGTTCCGTACCATTTTTTTTTTTTTATCCTCTGGTGAGTTTGTGAATACAAAATCCCATGGGTTGCCAGTCAGGAGAAAGGGCTACCTCCTGAGACAGACTACCTTAGCCAACACATGGGGAGAATGCTGGGGAGCCCTCTGTGAGCCTTGGGGAGAGCTGAGCAGGTGATGGTTCTGTGACTGAGAAGGAATAATGTGTTCTGCCCTTTTTTCTCCACCTTCTGCTGACAGCCCATGATGGACAGGAACAAAGCAGATGAGCTCCCCAAGTTGCAAGTTGGTTTCATCGATTTTGTCTGCACTTTTGTGTACAAGGTGGGCCTGACCTTCATCCAGTTTAGGAGCCTGTTTTCTAGAAGCACACACCTGGTCCCCCTCACTTCACCCTGCTCCCAAATCCTCAGAAGAAGAAGGCTTTCTTCATAGCTTTCCAATTGCCTTCATACATGTCCCAGGGCTGTAGGGAAGGTGTCCAGGCCTACAGCCTCTAACACAGGCAGAGGAGCCCACACTGAAGGGCTTGGACTGTGTAATCAAGGATTCAACCATGCTGACTTTGCATCATGGAATCCTCATTGCCTAAGTCCTTCAGAGTAAGCCTGTGTCTTCCAGAAGTGACTTGCAGTAAACTCTACTTGGTGATTCAGCCTGGAGACATATACAGAATAGGGTAACATAGATACACGTGTGGTGAGGGCCACCCAGGCAGTCAGCATTTCCGGAGCTCAGGGGCTCAGCTATGGAGAGGTCTAACTTGACTCTTCTTCTGGACAGCAGTCAGAGCACAAGGGCCAGTTAAGAAACGTGGAAAGTAAGGCCTGGTTTTAGCCAACAGGCTGCCCTAAAGCAGGTGCTCTGAACCTGGGGTCTGTGAATTTGTTTCTTCACTATCTTGATAACTGGATTTCAATAGAATTGGTCTCCTTTGTAATATATATAAATTTTTTTTTCCCTTTCATGCATTTAAGAAAAACAGTATTCTGGGAAAAGGTCCATTGACTTTACCAGATTGCTAAAGGGGTCCATGATACAAAAAAAGGTTGAGGATTCCTAACCTAGAAAAAAGGAGCTGGTGCCTCATTGAGGTTATTAGCAATAGCTGCTGCCTTCATGCCCCACGGATCAATTGCCCCGACCTCCTGATTGTGGTTAGCAGGGGAAAAAAACACTTGATTTGGGAGCAGCCCTCTGTTCAAGTCTTGGCTCTGGGACTATGGACAAATCATTACCCCATTTTGATCCTTAGGTTTCCCGTCTTTAAAATGGGAATAAGAAGCAGAGTGGCATAGGAGTCAGGAAGACCTGCACTACAGTTTTTTCTTTCTTTTTTTGTTTTTTGGCTAGGCAATGGGGTTAAGTGACTTGCCCAGGGTCACACAGCTAGTGAGTGTTACGTGTCTAAGGCCGGATTTGAACTTAAGTCCTACTGACTCCAAGGCTGGTGCTCTATTCACTGCGCCACCTAGCTGCCCTCAGTTTTTTCTTAGACACTTAGTATCTGGGCGATCCTAGGCAAGTTACTTAATATTTATTGCTCAGCCTCAGTTTTCTCATCTGTAAGAGAACACCTACTTCACAGGATTGTTGTGAGGAGCAAATAAAATAGTAGACATAAAGCACTTTGCAAACCTTAAAATATTATTATTTTTGTCATTATCAGCTGCTATTATTATTATTATATTCATACCACTTTTCTCTTTTCCAGGGGCAGGTGTGAGAAAAGTACCTTATAAACTGTGAAATACTTTATAAATGGGAGTCCTGAGTGTTGTCATTAAGATTATTTTGATTTCATTTGCTCTTCATAACAGCTCCATGATATACAAAGGCCAGGGGGGTGGAGAGCACACTGAACTTAGAGTCCAGGACCTGCATGCGAATCTCAGCCCTGCTCTGTAGTAGCTCTGTGATTCCCTTTTCTGGGCCTCATTTTATCAAATTATAAGATATGGAAGTGTGACTATCTCTAGAACCTCTCTAGCTCTAAATACGGTTATCCTCATTTTACAGATGAGGGCATTGAGGCTCAGAGTCTATGAACAGTTTATTGAGACCATAGAAGCAGTCAGGAGCAGAGCTGAGATTAGAAGTCAGGCCTTTTGCTCTTTCCACACACAATTCTGCATGCCTATAGTTAGGGCATAGTTAGTGACATGGGAAGCCCAAAGCATCCTACAGGGGGATAAAGGATTTATTAAAATAACTCACACATTTCTAGTCCTCAGCTTTATTTTATTGAAAAGGACAAATAGTCCTTGGTTATTTGATTAACAAAGGCTTATTAAGTGCCTGTATGCAAGGCCCTGGGCACTGGGGATACCAAGGTAAAAAATAAAAATAGTCTCTTTCCTCAGAAAGTTTATATTTTACTAGGAAGGATGTAACATATGTACACAAATGTGTATAATATAAGGGAGGCTGTAGGAAATTGGAGAATGACTTGATTTTCAGAGAGCAGAAAGCAGCAGGGCTATAAAACAGCAAGAGATCAGGAGTCAGGAGCCCTGGATTTCAATCTTGGTTCCATCGTTACTTGCTGTGAGTTATTAGGCAAGTTATTTTACCTCTCTGGGCCCATTTCCTTGGCTAAACAAGGAACCGACATTTTAAGAGGCACACTGACAAATCAGTGAGTATCCAGGAAGGATGATCAGAACGTTTATGGAACATGAAACCACACTGTTGGACTAGAAGACTCATGATCACTATAAATATTTGAAAAACTCTTTTGGGGAAGAGGAATTAGATTCTTTCTGCTTGGCCCCAGAGGACAAAGCTGGGAGCAGTGGAAGGAAGTTACAGGGAGGCCTTGATGTAAGGAAGAACTTTCCAACCAGAGAGCTATCCAGCTTTCCTTTCAATGGAATAAGAGACTGTGTTACCTGCCTGCTAGCAGCTCCTTTGTCCTAGGTGACTGAGACCTCGTCTTCTCTCCCAGGAGTTTTCCCGGTTTCACGAGCAGATCACCCCCATGCTCGATGGCATCACCAATAACAGGAAGGAGTGGAAGGCATTGGCTGATGAATATGAAGCCAAGATGAAAGCCCTGGAAGAGGAAAAGCAGAAAAAAGCACAGGCCAAGCAAGGTCTGTAGGGGCAAGTGGGCCCTAAGGGAGGTGGCCCGGTCTGCCCACAGGCCACTAAAAAGCACCAGGTCTGTTGGAAAGCAGAACATATGAGGTAGAAGACCTGGGTCCAAATTCGAGTTTTGCAGTTTAATCCCCATGTGGCCTGAAGACAAACCAATTTTCCTCTCTGGGTCTCAGTTTCCCAATCTGTAAAATAAGGAGGGGGGTGGGGCAGGGAAAGGGTAGAACTAAATCTAAGTTCGTTCTCTTCTGGCTCTAAATCCTATGATCTCCAATTTTTTTTTTTTAAAGTAAGGAAACTACTGCTTTACCTCCCCCAATCTAGGGAGTTCATGGCTCTCTGAGAGGTGTGGATGGTGATCTATGGAGATAAATCAATTGGTCACAGAGCTCTCACCTTTTTCAGTTTCCAGTCTAACAAAAGCAACACTGCTTTCAAAACCTCCATCATTTCACCGATGTGGGTACCTGCTCCACGGACACAGGATACAACCCTTTCATATCTATAGAAAGAAATTTTTTGGCCATAGCAAACAGCATCATGAAAACCATCCCCTGTTGGCTCACCTCCTGGTGAGGAGTCAACCTCTCAGAGCTTAACTGGACTGGTGCTCAGGTTAACAGATAGGGCATCACTTCCATACCATAGTGAGACAGAGGACTCTGGTGAAGGATCAAGATAAGGACTGGGCTTGTGATGGCATTGGTGGTTAAAATTTCTTTTAAAATGTTAAAAAAAAATGGGGCAGCTAGGTGGCACAGTGGATAGAGCTCTGGCCTTGGAGTCAGGAGGACCTGAGTTCACATCTGGCCTCAGACATATGACACTTACTAGCTGTGTGACCCTGGGCAAGTCACTTAACCCTGATTGCCTAATCAAAAGACAACAACAACAACAACAACAAAAAACAATAAAATGCTAAAAAAAAAAAGTCAGTCTACCACTGTTCTGTAAAATATATTCTTAAGTTTCAAAAGTCAAGCAACGATACTCTTGAAATAGGTGGGAAATGGGAAGGGAGGAAGGGGAAGATGAGAGAGGAACCAAGGATGTGGAGTTCTATATCCCTGGGTGAGACAGGCCTACCAGAAAGGGGAAGAAAGTGTCCTGACTATTTATGACTATTTACGATCAAATGAGATAATATATATATGTGTGAAGCACTTTGCGAACCTTTAAAGCACTACATAAATGCTAAATATGTATGTGCTAAACATATTACATAGTATTGTAATAATTATTATATATTGTATTTTAATTCTTATATAACATACAATATATTATATATTGCATATATAATGTGAATATATACACACATATAAATATATGTGTGTGTGTGTTCCTTTTTTTTTTTTTTTCTTGTGAGGCATTCGGGATTAAGTGACTTGCCCAGGTCACACAGCTAGTGAGTGTCAACTGTATGAGGTCGGATCTGAACACAGGTCCTCCTGACTCTAAGGCCTGAGCTCTATTCACTGTGCCGCCTAGCTGCCCCTGTGTGCATGTTCTTAAAGAAATGCCAGGGCCCACTGAGGTTAACTGACTTGCCTGGAAGGATGGCCCTCAGCGGTTATCTAGCCCAGCCTTCTCGTGTTAGAGATAAGGAAACTGAGTCCCAATAAGGTGAAGCAACTTGTTTCTGGTTGCACAGGTGGCATCCAAGGCAGGAGTTAAAACCAGGTCTTCCAAATCGAAAGCTAGTTCTCCTTCTACTGGTCCCACATATGTACTAGAGGCCAGGCTTGTGTGGTCTAGGGTCACGCCAATAGTATAGATGAGAACTGGGATTTGGAAGACCCAGGTTCCTGACCCCAAGATTTGTATCTGATCTTCTGTGCCATGCTATCTTCATAGAGGAACGATTACAAAAGTAATCCTACCAATACTTTAAGTTTTTTAAGTATTTGAGAACACTTTTATACCATTATTTTACATAATCCTTACAACCCTATGATCATGGTAAACATGGTACTTTATAACTTTATTATTTATTCCCACTTTATAGAAGAAATCATGGTATATTAATAAAGGCCCTAAGTTTCAGGGCCTGGTGCCAACATCAATTCTTGGACAAGTTATTTAAGTCTTTGAGCCTCAGTGTTCACATCTGTAAAATGTGAATACTTATACTTGCATCACCCACTTCACAGGATTGTTCTGAGGAAAGTACTTTGTAAACCTTAAAGTAATATATACACATGAGTTATTCTTGTTATTAATATCATTCAAGCTGAGAAAACTGGGCCTCAGAACAATCACATAAAGACACAATGTAGGGTAATAACCCAGCTGGGGCTAGAATCCAGGTCCCTGAAAGGCTAGTCCAGTGTTTTTGAACATCTATTTTTTTACAGCAGTATTCTACAAGCATTCTTTAAGTAACAGAGAATCATGTATGCAGAGCCTCATGTTGGAGGCCATGGAGCATACTAGGTGCTAGGTGCAGGCATAGTGTGTGATGGTGGGAGTAGAGGCCCTGCTGGTGACTACAGCTATCCACTAACAATTTCTAAAGCATGATTTCTACACATTTGGAGCCCTCTATTAGAGGAGAGGCTGTGCAAAAAAAAAAAAAAAAATGCAGAAGTCACAGTGTCCTGTTCCCAAGGGGAAATATTGTTGAGGAAGAAAATCAGTGGAAAGAGCATTGAGTCTCAGTTTTCTCCTCTGCACAATGTGACTTGCATTACTTATATCAGAGAGGGCTGTTTAATCAAAGGGATGTGCAAGCCTAAACACCCTGCATAAATATGATCTATCAATTGTTTCAGGCCATAGATGTGCAAGACATTCCCCAGGGTCCCTCCAGTGTCCCATTCTTGCTCTCAACTGGCTGTCAGACATGCTCCTCTGTTATTTGCATTTTAAAATTGCTGTTCAGTCATTTCAGTCTTCTCCAATTCTTCATGAATCCCTTTGGGGTTTTCTTGGCAGAGATACTGGAGTGTTTTGCCGTTTCCTTCTACAGCTCATTTTACAAATGAGGAAACTGAGGCAAACAGGGTTGAGTGACTTGCCCAGGGTCACACTGCTAGTAAGTGTGTGAGGCTGGATTTGAACTCAGGTCTTCCTGGCTCCAGGTCCAGCACTCTATTTACTGTATCACCTAGCTGCATTTTAAAATGGGATCCTTTAAGAGGAAGAGCCCCATTCCTAGTTGCTTTTTGGGGGCAGAGAAAGAAGATAAAAGTAAAGAGCTTGGTCAATAAGTGAAGTGTGGTACAGTAGAAAAAGTGCTGCATTTGAGTCAAAGGCCCTGGGTTTCTAATCCTCATTCTGTAGCTATCTGGGTCACTTTACCTTTTGGGTATCAGTTTCCTCAGTTGTAAGATGAGGGGGTTGGATGAAACGAGCCTTAAGGTCCCATTATGAATGAATGAAAACTACGGAACTTTATTGGGAGAAATGAGACCAAAATTTGAGGGTTATTTCCTGTTCGCTGGTGAGGAATATAATAACCAAAGGGAGCAGAGAGCATAGGTTAATGGGAATACTCCCCCAAGGTGTGCCAACGCCCTGGGCTTATGGTCTATGCTTGGTGATAAAAATTATAATAATATCAAAGGTAATTTACAGACTGAATTTAAATGAGAAAAGTTGTATAAAATGCTTTCCAAAGCTTAAGATCCTATATAAATGTTAGCTATTTTTATTTTTGCCAATTAAAATGCCAGCAGGATTTTTTTCTACAAATAGACAAAATGATAAAGAAACTTCTTGGGAAAACATGCCAGCAAGACAAAGATGATCAATAGAGGACGACTTGACCTTCTGGAGTATATTACCCAGCCTCACCTAACCCCTTCCCCTCCCCACCCCAACCCAGCCCACTCCCTTTCCTTCATCCTTATCTGAACTCATAAACCCTGGAATGTATGGTCTTCTCCACTCATTCTATTCCCCAATCAGATTTTGGGGGCTGAGAAGATCCTGGGCTATTGCAGTGGGAGGGGCTGGGCAAAGTCCTTTTCTCCTCAGAACCTAGAGATCTGGTTTACTGAAGCCCTGTTAGGTGAAGTAGATGTGGAAAATATGTATCACCTAGATGGCAGCTTCCTGTCCCTGTCTTCCCCCCTCAACCTCCCTAGCACAGGACAGAGAAGAAAGGACTGGATCTGGCATTGGAGAACCTGAGTTCAGATCCAACCTCTGATGCTGATTACCTACAGGCAAGACCTTGGGCAAAACATTTAACCTTCCTAGGCCTTAGGTTTGGCATTTTTTTTCATCTGTAAAATGAGAGGGATAAATCGATTGGCCTCTAAGCATCCCTTCCAGCTCTGCATCAATGATCCAAAGCTGTGGGTCTCCTCAGGCCCAGAGCTGAGTTGCTTTGGGGCTCTAAAGGGCTCTTAGGGAGGCTTTTTTATGTGGCATTGCTATGCCATTCGTCTGGCGCACCAGAGGCCCTGGGTATCTCACTGGGGAAAAAAGGCAGGAAGCAGTTTAGACCTTGGTCAACTTAGTTATCTTCACGAGTTCAAATCCAGCTTCAATCACTTACTAGCTATGTGACCCTGGGTAAGATATTTAACTTCTGTTTGCCTCAGTTTCCTCAACTGTAAAATGGAAATAATAATTGTCTGTATCTTCCATGTTGTTGTGAGGATCAAATGAGATATTTGTAAAAGTGCTTAGCATAGTGCCTGGCATGTAGTAAGCACTATATAAATGTAAATTATTGTTATTATTATTATCCAAGATTCCACACTTGTACAACCCCAACACCCTCCCCCTCTCAATCTGTTGCCAAGTTCTGTCAATTCTGTCTTGACAACATCTTTTGTATACACCCCTTTTCTCATGATGCTGCTTTGGCACAGGCCCTCAAATCAAGAATCTTCTTACTCTGTCCCTCCTCCACTCAGCTGCCAAAGTGATCTTTTCCTAAAGAGCAGGTGTGATTGTGTCTCCTCCCTATTTAGTAAACTCGTTGTTGTTGTTCAGTTTTTCAGTTGTGTTCAACTCTCTGTGACCCCATTTGGGGTTTTCTTGG